CCTATCACTGGATAGTTTAAAAGCACTAAATTAGATGGTATATTAAAAGAGCCTAACCCAACGCTTGATTTTTCTATCTAATATATTATAATACCTTATAATTTACTGAGAGAACTGGGCATGAATATAAGCCTCCTCTTTTTAATGCCACCTTGAATTTGAAAAAAGAACTTTTCGGGTTAGCAGGTGGTATGGTGGTTAAGGAACTAGATCCCACATGGCCAACTCCACAGTTTGAGATCCTGACCAGGGCTTGGCACCAGCAGTTGGCATAATGGCTATGTCATTGGACTCCCACGTAGTTGACCGTGGTTCAAGTCCCAGACCCAGTGGCTTAAACTCATGCTGGGTGCATGTGCGTGCATGCCCAAGATCCTGAGAGGAGAATGGAGAAGAAGGGATTGCAGCATGGCCATCCCCTCTGGGGGGTGATTTCTCGCTCTCTGTCTCCCTGTCGCTCTGGCGAGTGCACACGCCCTATAGCAAAAGTCTCTAAAACACACACACACACATACACACACACATGAGCGTGTGCATGCCCAAAGTCCTGCAGGTAGAATGGAGGAGCAGGGATTGCAGTGTGCCTATCTTCCCTAAGGGCTAGTTTCTCACCACCCTTATCTCTTTCTGTCCTGTCTCTCTGGTGAGAACAGATGCTCTACAGCAAAAAATCTTTAGAAAAAAAAAAAAGGAAAGAAAGAAAAGAAAAAAATCTTTCCTCTTTAAGGTATGGCTAGCAAGAAAAAAAAAAGCAATAAAGATTTAGGTAAAAATAGACTTGAATTTTCAGTGTCAGTCATCAGGACAGTGAAACAACCGTGGCCAGCTTTAAAATGACTGCATAAAGGGGTCATAACAGTGAAGGCATCAGGGGTGTTTGGGAAACTGCTGCTGTTGGCGACCTAAAGGGGCTAACTCGGCTCTTTCTAAAATGTCCGGCTGTCCTTAGACATAGGCAAACACAAGGCTGTGTGAGCTGCCAGACAGAACCCACCCAGATCTCAGCTGGAGCTCTGAGTGGGACGAGCCACTCTGCAAGTCACATCCTGCTTGCTTCAGCAGATGCTGTCCTGGGGCTTGCCTCCATGGGCTACAGAAGTCGGCTTTTAAAGGAGAGGGGCTGCAACTTCTGTACTGTTCAGCCTGTCATTGCCTCATGCCTCTGCACCATTTGGCCACACCAAGCCTCCTTTCTCAGGCCTTATCTCCACTCAGAACCTTCTGACTCTTGGCTGCTCAGATTCTCACCAACTCTATCATCAAAATGTGCCAAAATACTCACTACATTTGTTAGATTGTTTTCCTCATAATATCATTACTTTAAATTCTTTTTTATTTAACCAAAAGCATTTTGGATATCAAGTCAACTCTATGTTGTCAATGGAGGTAAACTGGGGAGGCTCCAGATCTGAGGAGGCTTTCCCATAAAATTTGCCAATTTCAGAGCATCCAGAGATCCAGCAGGAGAAGACATGCATTTAATTACTTACATAAACAGGACAGGATGCTCCCTCAATGACTGGACAGAAAGTAGTCCGTGCTGACACTGAGCACAGGCCTCATATACCATAAGAATAAACCATTGGTAGATCGATTATAGATCAATGCAGATTCCCTCTCACTAAGACAGGGCTTTTCTTTGTATGTGCATTGTTTGAAAGTTAGAATAAAAATTTAACTTATCCACTAACAGAATCAGCAGGATATGTTTAGGGCTCAGTACATCTAATCTTGTGATGTTAATATGGGAGGAGTGCATGTAACTCCAGAACAGCCCCAGCCGGGAGTCAGTTCTGTGAGCTAAGGGAATGGGCAGGAGATACTCACAAGGCCCAACTTGTCAGCAGCCAGGTCTCAGGGAGACAGGTTGAAGAGTGAGGGTTAAGGAGAGCTCAGTGTATGGAGTGCACTGTTAGGAGGGTATCACCAACCCTGTTTTCTAGAGGACAGAACTCAGCCCTAGACTGCTTAGACCATCTAAGGCCACACATCTAGCCAATGACAGAGATGAACCTAAGTCAGCTTTCTTCACTCTAATGCCAGGGCTCTGTCCAGGATATAGAGCTGCTCCCATGTGAGATTTTGGAGTGGGTGTGAAGTTCTCCTAAGGAACGAGTTGGGACGAGGAGCGCACACTCCATTTAGTCAAAAGATTTCAAAAGAAGATCACCCAGTAACATGGAAGGCAAAGTTGGTAGCAAAGTGGGTAACTGACTTTGTGGGAAGGACACTGGGTCCGCAAGTCAGAACTGGCATCGAATTGTCTCTCCATATGTTTTTCCTTAAACACCTTACACCCACTCATTACTTCGCTGTGGACGATCGTCTACCTGTTTTATTATTTGGCCATATTCATTATTGATCTCCTTTTATGTTTCTACAGATTATGGATAATAATTAGAGTACAATGGCTTTGTTGCTGGACTTCATGGCATAGTAACTGAGGCTTATTAGACTGAAGGATGCTCTGAGAAGAGCAGTCATGATGAAATGGATTTGTCCCGAACAGGCTGTATGAAGTATGTGCTTCTGTTATACCTTCACACAAGAAGGGGCATCTGGGTGTTGCAGGCAACAGGGAAGGCTTCGCAGTTAGACAGACAGACAGGCAAAAAGCAGTCTTTCCCTGGCCCTGCCACCTCCTAGCTCTGAGACTTTAGACCAGTCTAGGGATAAAAATATTGCATAATGATACCACTGTATACATGAAATACATGAAACACCTGTAAGGTGCCAAGTTTAGGTCAATAACTGATAAATTATGGTGAGTATACTGTAGAAGAAAGAGCACCAGGATTGGAACTAGGTGACTTCGGTGCCAGGCCCAGAGACTCCATCACTTGCTGTGTGATCTTGGAAAAGGAACTCAGCCTTGCTTTCAGCTTTCTCATCTGAACAGTAAAGCTAATAATAACCTCCCTGGTAAGGGTTAAATGAGGTAACACGTGTAACAGAGACGGGAGCTCAGACAGTGGTTCCACAGTGGTCTTGATGACAGAGCCCAGCCTGGAACCATAGGTACTTTTGCTGGACCTCTAGCTTGCTTCATGCACTGGGAACTGGCTGTGTTTCCTCAGCTATGAGTGGGGATTCCAACAGCCTACATTCCTGAGATTACTCAGGTTTTGTCAGTGTGTGTGTGTGTGTGTGTGTGTGTGTTTGTATTGGCTGTTTTTAAAGCAAAAAAGTAAGCTAGAGGACTTTCTTATTTGATTTCTCTATCAAAACTTTCTTAGACCAAATAAACACTATCCTAACCTTGTACTCATGGAGTAGCATTTCACCCATTAGATTAAATGAACAAGGTTGTAGCTGGTGTGTGATCATGATTTCTGTGGAAAAAATGATTATATTGATTTCTCATTCTTAATGAGCTGGACTTCAGTGAAAATAGGTTGTGTGCTACTTTAAACATTTTAAGAATTTTATATTATTGTGTGATCTTTCAGAGAGTCCTTCAATTGTCACAGTTAAAAATAAATGCCAATTGGGACCAGCAGAGGCGTAATGGCTATGTCACTGGACTCTCATATAATCAACAGCAGTTCAAGTCCCGGGCCCAGTGTCTTAAACTCACGCCAAGCACTTGGACATGAATGCTCAAGATCCCAAGAGGAGAATGGAGGAGAAGGGATTGCGGCATGGCCATCCCCCCTGGGGGGTTGATTTCTCTCTTTCTATCTCTTTGTCTCTCTCTCTGTCTTTATGGCAAGTGCACAACCTCTATGGCAAAAAACATTTACCACTATTTCTTTGACTATCTGAGTGTCTTACTGTGTCTTACTTGTTTTTCTTTTTCTTTTTTTAAAGAATTATTTATTTAATTTTATTTATTCATTTATTTTAATTTGACCAGAGAGAAACACACACACACACACACACACACACACACACACACACACATACAGAGAGAGAGAGAGAGAGAAAGTGAGAAAGCAAGACAACAGGTCCAGGACGTGAACTATAGTCGGACATGTGGAAATGTCCAGTGCCTTAACCACCACGTCACCTACTCAGGGTAAGACTGACTTGTAAATCGAAGTCTGCCCTATAGTAACAATGGAGTGCAGACAGACTGGCTTAAGAGGCCTAGTTGCCAGCTTTAAACACAGCAGGAGATTCATAGTCCCTAACCTGCACTTGCTGTAGGACTGGGAAAAGGAACTTAGCCTTGCTGCGTGCCAGTTTCCTCATTTGAACAGTGGAGCCGATAATAACCCACCTGGTAGCATTGTGAGGATTAATTGTGCTTTAGAACTATCTGGTGTTACTGTTCGAAACCATTCAACTAGAATCTGAGACAAGAAAATAAGGCGGGAACTCCATAGAGGATTTTATAAGAAAGCTGAATGTCAGAAGATAACAGAAAGAAGAAGATGGTTGATTCTCACACATGCACAGCTGCCGACTCCCCTTACTCTGCACTCAGCTCCTCCTCTCCCTCCCACAGAGAGCTGGAAGTTTTAAAGGAAAGAAACAAGAGACCAACAGGAAAAGTGAGCCATCTAGGGGAGATGTGTGCAGCTCTGTGACCGTCCGGTGCTCTTGCTGGATGGTCAGGGAAGAGTTACCTGGGATGAAGTTCACTCTGGAGGCAAGATTGTTAGCTTCGCTCTTCTGAATGATTGCCCAGGTAAGAATTTAACTCAAGCAGAAATTGGAGCTCAGGACTATTGTTTTTAGGGAGCAGTGAAAGAGTGGGAGAGCGCAAAGATGGTGTGATTTTGATTAACTCACTCACCACTCACAAATATGAAGAATAATGTAAATTTTCTTTTTAAACAAATAGAAAAAAAAATCCATAATATTCATGGATTGAACTGCCTCATGGATTATAATTGTGAATGTAATTATTTTTATATTTGTATATTTTCCTAGTTCTTATCCTAATGAAGATATATTTTTACATAGTTGTATAATATGCATGTGTCTTGTTAATCTTTTTCTTTAAACATATTATCATAATCATATTTATCATCTTTATACAGCCATCATAATTATCATTTGAATGATTTAAAAATATTGAGCAGAGCAGATATAACAATAACTTATTTAGCTACTCCACTTTACCTAACATTTATTTCCAATTTATTGAAATAATCTAGATGAAGCAACAGTAATTATCTTCATGCTTATAGTTGGTTTAACTCTATTATGTCCTTAAGATACTTCTCAGAGGTGAGAAGAACAATCATTTTTTAAGCTATTAAAACCTTCTACATTAAGACCAACAGGTGGGACCAGCAGTTAGCATAATGGCTATGTCACTGGACTCCCACGTAATCAACCATGGTTCAAGTCCTGGACCCGGTGGCTTACACTCACGCCGGGCACGTGTGCGTGCATGCCCAAGATCCCGAGAGGAGAATGGAGGAGAAGGGATTGCGGCGTGGCCATCCCTCCTGGGGGGGGATTTCTCACTTTCTGTCTGTCTCTGTCTGTCTGGTGAGCGCATGCGCCCTATAGCAAAAATCTCTCCAAAAAAAAAGACCAACAGGTGCCAACAGGTCATGCGGAGGTTAAGACCCTGGATGCCACATGGCTGACCTCGTGGTTGGAGTCCTTGAGCAGTGGCTTGAAAAATCACACCTGATGTGTGTGCATGCATGACCAGAATCTCAGAATGAGAATGGAGGAGAAGGATTGCAGCGTGGACACAGTGAAACCCTGTCTAGAGACAACAACAACAAAATTGTGTGTAGGGGGTCACAGTATAAAGAACTATTTTTATCCTTCTCTTACCACTCAATAATCTGATATAATCACTTGTAATATTTTCTTAATTTATCCTCTGCCCTTTATTTTGTGGCCTGTTTTGAAATACAGAAATTCAGCAGTGTTCAAGGAATAAAATTCTCTAACCTTTTATCCATTATGTCTGTTATCACTTGAATGCCAGACTACCATTTGACATCACAATGTTCTGTATTTGTGATAACACCTCTGAATACAGCCCAGGTGTCAGTCACAAATACCAAGGAAAAGATGCTCTTTCTGAAGGTCCAGGTGACTCCAAATCCAGAGCTACACCAGGCACCAGGCACCAGGCCCCAGGCCCTGGAGGCATCATCGCTCTTTCCTTCTCCCCTCCTTTCTTTCTGGACTGTTCCTGTTCCAGGGAGGACACCTGTGCAGTGAGAGCTATCTCTAATAACCTGTACATACATTGCTGGGCCCCGAAGGGAGCCTAGGCTTCCCAGTCTCACCTTCCCTCACTGGTCCCTGATATAGTAACTTAGATCACCACTTGAGAGTCTGGACCAGACTGCCACAGACAGCCATCATACCCAATCCTGTCTATCATAAGACAAACCTAGCTGAGTGACTGGTGATCAAGCCAATTACCAACAATTTGGCTCCTACCTTTGAAGGATGCTCTTGTGAGAGAGACGTGTAATGCCCATGGGTTTCCAGCCAATTAATTAAGGAAGTCAAACCTGACTTGGCAATGTGCAAAGTTCCTCACATTTGTTTCATTTGCATGGAGGGTTTCAATAAAAAGTAGAGAAGGAATACAGTAATTAATCTTCCTCATAGCAGAATGTAATGATTAAAGAAACATTTTTTTGTAGGAATGAGGCTTTAATTTTACCTTTTTAGAGAAAGAACCACTACGATTATTGCATAATTGTTGTAAACCCTGGTGAGCTGAAAAGCAATGCTATTATTGAGAAGCAGTCCAGTAATTGGAAATTTGTATTTGTGATTATATATATTATAAATAGCATGCATTTTATATGTATATATGTGCATATATGTGTATATATGTATATACCTATATAAAATCACTAATACAAATATATTTATACATTTACAATATTTTAGTTCCTAACATAACTTACCGTGCTGTAAAATGACAGTGATGTTCAAATGTTCTCATTTCCCCATCCTGCCTTTTCTAGATGAGAGCCCTCATGAGACTCAGAAGTAGAAGCTGTGAGTTACTGTTGAGAGCCAGAACAGAACAAGCCACTAGAGCAGCCATTATCGAAGACATTTATGGTATCTATGATTGAAGAATCCATTGGTTCTTGGCTTTATTTTGCCCATAAGAACAGTCTTCACATGGTAATATGTTCATGTCAGAGTTGTATTAGTACCACAAAATTTGCATTAGGGCCCATTAATCTACAACAGGAGGTAGTAGGTGCCTTAATATGAACTTTAGTGATTCAAAAAGTGATAATAAGACATCAATTTTTAAACAGTAGAGAAATGGCCCACCCGAACAGTACCTATTCTTCTAAAATAGTATGCTAGGTGCAGTAAAATTTCTTTTATCTCTGAAAACCACAGGGGCTCCTAATGGCCTCCTGGATCGAATCTGTCCTCCTGGAAAATGTGCTCTCCCTGATCACCGCTCTTGTCCCTGCTACCTCATCTATCCTCAGTGAGTGCCACACATGCGCATGCAGCACCTGTTAGGTCTTGCACTACAGGCCCTCCTGAGGACTGTGTGCCCTTCAACGACATGGGGATACAGCAGTGAAGCAGGCAAGTAAGGAGGCAGGCTCTTGCTGATCACACTCAGAGTAATGCCTCTCTTCCCGCATCGCTCAGCCTTTGTTCATGCTGCTTCCTTTGCCTGGAACTAACTCTTCCTCCCTTAAAACCCAAATTTCCTAGGAAGTTTTCTAGAATTTCCAGATGCTTAGCTAAATACCATTACTTTTGAGTGTTGTCATGTTCTTTAAAAGGGGCTATTTTCTGTGTTCTTCTAATTGTAAAATGAGAATATGTTCACAAACAAATAAGTGGTAAATTTTTAAAAAAGGTATCATTCAAATATTGGTAAGTACAAAAATGTATAAAAGAGAAAAATAATTATTAATCTTCCCTAAAGATAAATATAATATGTATACTATGTCAGAAATATCTTTTTACATGCTAGTTTTCTTCTCCAGATCATTTGGAGACACATATTCAAGTCTTATTTATCTCATGCTTTTCCCTCTCTAGCTCTCTGCCTGTCACATAATAGGCACACAATACATACTCATTGAACTGAACCTAATTAATTTACTTAAATGCTTTATTGCTTCAAAAAAAATTAAAAGAAAAATGGCCAAATTAAGAATTTTATTTAGGGTGTTAGAAAGGAAATACAGGGGCCAGCTGGTGGTGTGGTATTAAGGTAGCTAGATTCCACATGGCCAGCTTCCTGGTTTGAGTTCCAGACCCAGCAACCTGAAACCATGCCAGGCACATGTGCATGCATGCCCACAATTCTGAGAGGAGACTGGATTGTGGTGTGGCCATTTTCCCTGGGGAAGGGAGGGTGCCTTCTCTCTTTTCTGCCCCTTTCTCTTCCCCTTCCCCCAGCAAGTATGCATGCTCTAGCAAAAACTTAAAAAAAAAAAATCTATCTATCTATATCTATCTATCTATCTATCTATCTATCTATCTATCTATCTATCTATCTAAATATATAGATTTCTTCCACCAAGGAGAGGAATATAATGAAGACAGAAAAGAAATTGAGCATAAAAAGAGACAATAACTGGACTACCCAGAAATGGTTAAGAAAGTTGGATCCCACATGGCCAACTATGAAGTTTGAGTCCTGGACCTGCTAGCTTGAAAAATGTGTACGTGTGTGTGACTGAAATCCTGAAAGGAGAGAGAGATGGAGAAGGGATTGCCACATGACCTTTCCCCATAGGAGGTGTTTTCCCACTTTCTCTGTCTCTCTGTTTCTCTCTCTGGCAAACACACATGCTCTCTAGCAAATTAAGGAAAAAAGAGAGAGAGAGAGAAGCTATAGCTAATAAATCGAAGTACTCTTTTGAAAACAACAATAAAATGAGTTACCTTCGGCAAATCTTTTTTTTTTTGAGAGGTTTTCACCATAGGGCACGTGTGCTCGCCAGACAGACAGAGACATAGAGACAGAAAGCAAGAAATCACCCCCCGGGGGGGATGGTCACGCCTCAATCCCTTCTCCTCCATTCTCCTCTTGGGATCTTGGGCACGCACGCACATGTGCCCGGCATGAGTTTTAAGCCACCGGGTCCGGGACGCAAACCGCGGTCGACTACGTGGGAGTCCAGCAACATAGCCATTACACTAACTGCTGGTTCCCTCGGCAAATCTTTTTTAAAAAGTGAGAAAGGGGTCAGCAGATGGCCCTAAGGCACTAGACTCCTTCGTGGCCAGCTGTGGTTGCTATCCTAGACCGGAAGGCTTGAAACTCACACCGAGTGTTTGTACATGTGTGCACATAATCCCAGGAGGAGAGTAGAAGAGAAGGGATTGTGGCATGGCTATCCTCCCAGGGAGTGATTTTTTGCTTTCTGTCTCTGTCTCTGGCAAGCACATGCACCCTATAGCAAAAAATCTCTCAAATAAACAAACAAACAAACAAACAAAAAACATGAGGAAAAAAATTAGAAGCACGAAAGAGTTATAGCAATGGAGACATTTAATTTTTTTTAAGAGAGAGATTTTTTGCTATAGGGTGCATGTGCTTGCCAGAGACAGAGACAGAAAGCAAAAAATCACTCCCTGGGAGGATAGCCATGCCACAATCCCTTCTCCTCCAGTCTCCTCTTGGGATTTGGGGCACACATACACATGCACCTGGCATGAGTTGCTTTTTTGTTTGTTTTAATTTTTTTGTTTTTGTTTTGTTGT